GGCATTTGTCGTCAAATAGGTAAAAACAGAATGTCAAATGGAACTAAAAAACGGTTTATTGATTGATTTAGATCAGAATAGGTCTTCAGTCGTGTACATGTGCTCCTAAATTGGCTAACTGTCCATTTTTGGCCCTTAATATAATCGGTATGCATCAACAATCAACAAAAGCACACTGAGTTGCACGCACACTGCTTTTATTTTCATTAAACATCTAATAATGTTTGCAAGAATTTTTCTACAAATAAAGATAATAGAATGAAGCTGAAAAAACTGTTGGTAATTATTCGAGGTCCCTCCGAGAGAGGTTATTTATGTTTCACTAGAAAAAAATTATGGTTTTCAATAATGCAAACGAGCTAAAATATTAAAAATTTTAATGCATTAACATTTTTCATTAGCATTTTTTCTGAGTCTATGAACAAAAATATCCCTGCATACCACACTTATTAAAAAATATTAGTAGTATTACATTGAGGTCGATTTCGAAAAATATTTGGTCCATTCAATATCAAAAATTTTTTACGAATTGTTACTAGTACAAGTTTTTACTGGAAATGCATTCAATAACCCAAAACATTTGCAAGAGAGAGCGAATTCGAGAGCGTAACAACCCGAGAGAGCTGCAAATTCTTGCAAGTAAAAATTTTACTAGCAGAAATTTGCAGGAGTCAAAAAGTAAGGTTATGTTTCAAATTCAAATTTAAACAAACTGTTTATGAACAATCTCCAATCAGTAGGATCATGTACTTGACCTAATTTAGACTTAAGGTTGTCAATGTTGCTACAGTAAACTAAAGCGTCATCTTTAGAGAAGCAATCTCGGTAGCACTTTTTATAAGTATAGCGAAAACACTTGTTTTTATACTTCGTGGTATATCTTCCGCAAACATCGCAAAATAAATTAGGTGAATTAACACACTTACGTGGCATGGTAAACTACTTGTTGATGGCTTCCAAACTATACTAATACTTGAATGAACGAACGTTCGATTTTCAAATTTACATCTCTTTTATGTGCTAACACGTAACTTTTCAAAATAATACGATTACTCCGAAATTCGAACTAAAAGTAATAAAAGGAAATAGTAATATTAATGAGGGTTAATATAGGTAATATTATCGATGTGAATTACTCAGGTGGGCCAGTGACTGTTGGCTAGTGTTATTTGAACAATTTTAGCCTTAAACGTTTATTTCGACGAAAAAGTACCAAAATTACTAATTTTTTCATTATAACTAGAAAAAATCATAACTTTGGGTAGTTTCTCAATAGAATGTTCATATTAGAGGCAACGGACGTTGGCATCAAATACAACATACATATCTGTATAGTTTCAAGAGTGCACCACAAAATTAAAAGAAAAAAATGGCAGCATGCAGAATATCTGTCGCAGCTATTTTGTAAATTTTGAGATTTTACGATTTTCAATATGTTAAAATTAAACGAGGAAAATGTTCTTCTTGCCAAAACGAACGAATCTAGTGTGACACCAAATAAAAAAACATTACATTGAATGAAAGATGACTATGATTTGAGAATGTAATATTCCATGTTTACAATTTTTATTGGCCCCATTGAAAATCATTCTAAAATTGTTATATCATGTATAGAGAGTGATATATTATATATGTATGTATGTAAATAAGGAACACTGTTTAAAAATATTAAATGCCAATATTTAATCACTTTTAAATAATATGGCTTTTGATTTAATGCGTGCAAGTAAACGTGTTAGATGACTGCGTATGGTGCTATTTTTATTTTTTGTATGTAAATATATCTTTTTTAAGTTTTCATTTAAATACAAATACGCGATGGAATCTTGTTCTTTATGCAAAACTGAATATAATGCATTTTCCAATATAGGCGTAAAACCATTTTCGACCAACAACACGTTTTTGTCGAAAAATGTAACAACTCGTGAGTTTTGCTCATATATGTGCGTAAATATAAACGCTATCAAAATTTTTCTCTTCACCTTCACTCTCTTCTTCCAATAACAGAATTCAAATGTCATTTTGAATTAACTTTTTTTGCTTAAATAATATGTTAATGAAAACAATTCCGTTATATTAACTTACCAAAAAAAAAAACATTAAAATTGCCTGCTCACTTCAAAATGAGCAAAACAGCTGATTGGAACAACGGTTTTGTTTATGTTCGAAAAGAGCAATAGCAATACGGTTTAGCGCGTGGTAGCGTTCTTACAGCAAATTTTCAATTGTAAGTTTGTTTCTTACAGGTCTATTCTGCGCTGGTAGCAAAAATTGTGTAACCAGTAAAGTTCCCGTCAATTTTTAATCCCTTTCGTATTCTGTACACTCTTGTAATCCGTAAATTTTGTTACCACCTCATGAAATATTGCCCCATGAAATATGCAATACCAGAATTATTTTGACAATGTTACCAACGTACCTAGAATTGTGGTTACAAGAAGTGGTAACAACTTGTGGTACAAAAATTTTCCGTTTACAAAAACATCACTAACGTACAGAATAGACCTTTTAGAGTTGAATCAAAACATTGAGCCGCAAAATTGTGTTAGCGGTTATGTAAAGGGTTTACGTGTACCTACCCAGCAGGGATAGCTACTAGTTGTGAACTAAAATGCTACCAGTTTGCGTTTCAGCCCAACTAGATCAGGTTATATCCTTTTTCAATGTTAGCGACTGGTATTTTTAACATGGCGGTGTCATAGGAGCTGTCAATTGTTCCTTTATGCATCAGCACCCTGCCAGTAGAAATACTAGTAGCATCATACCAGTTGACGAGATAGTATGCTCGCAAAGCTATGGCGCGCCATGAGATCCGAGTTGGAGTTGTAGTGTTTTAAAAAGAAAAAAAATGTATTTAATTTAATTTTTATATGGTATTTGAGTATTTAGGTTTTTTTCCGAATGAAATTTACACTCTAAAAAGGGAATGTACTACTGAAATGTGTTATTTTTCAACCAGAATCTGTGTAAATATAGGCACAAGATGTTCTAGATTTAATTTTGAGCATTAGATGTTTAAAATGTACAGATAAAATGTTTAAAATTACAAAGATTTTGAAAGTAAAAATAAATTTTTTACTAATAATAAACATTAAATGCTCATACTTACTCAATTTTAATCATTTTATGTATGTGTAATTTTGCTCTACGCGACAAATTTGGTATTTAAAAGTAAACAGCCAGTGTTTAGTTTTATTACACGGTGTGTAAATTTGCACACATTAGTAGAGGAAACTGGTTACCTCTCTTTATATGCGCAAATTTAAACCAAAAATTTTTAGAGTGTAAATAACAATTTTTAATTTGTATTTTAATTGAAATAATTAACTTACCCCCTATTATAAATTTCCATACGATATATGATAAACGCTTGTAAGCGTATCGTATGAAATCAGTTCTCGTATCATCCTCTTCATACGCCCGACAGATGTATTGTTGTGAATGGCTGCGGTTTTTGTTAACTTTTTATTGTGAACCAGCACAAATCAGCTTCGCTATGTTTCGAATTTCAAACGACAACATTGATTCGTAATAGAGAATAACAGAATGCAATAGGGGGGATACTTAACTTTAACCACCCCCAAGCGGACTCGATCCCAGAACCAGAATCGCTAGTATTCAATCGACGCCACAGCCGACATTTGTGGCGAAAGCAATTAAGTGCATTTTAGTTGGCAATTATACTCGGAAAATAAGCGCACACGCATTTTTTTTTTGTTTGATCATATCCTCGAAGTTGCATGTTTCATGTAGTTTTTGAAAAATGGCTCATTAATTTTCGATTCTCATAAATCAAAATTTTTTTTCGTTGCAATTCGTATTTTTATTACCATTTTAAAATTATTATATACATATATATTCGATGCTATGGGTGATGTTCTCCGATCTGCCGCTTAAAATTTTTTTCTTTACAAAAAAAAATTAAGATGACACTGCAGTTTTCATAAAAATATTTTTTTTTCCAAAAAAGCCATATTTTTTTGGCTAAACTTTTTTGAAGATAGCCTGCCTCAACACCTACTTATATTTTGGCATATGCGGCATTTAGGTTATTTAAGTAAAATCGAATTCTCCAAAACAAACTGTTATTGTTGTTATTTTTATTAATATCCGTTTATTTTGGAACATATCTTGGAAATATTTTTTTCTTTCGGGATAAAAATTCTACGAGGCTAGAATTTATTAACAGCTTCCGAAAAGCTAAACATTCTTTTGTCAGAATGTTATGGCCTCTCAACGAAACGTTCAGAAATATATTATTTTTTATTTATTCACCAATTTCGGAGCTTGCATTCTAGGAAAAGTAATAAATCATCTGAAATGCTGCAAGAATACTTCGGTCGAGCGTAATGGATATACTGTAAGCTCATTTGTGTGTATACTGCTATAAATGTGTATGTGTGCAAAGAAAATCAAAAACCTATAAGGTATTATAATACTTAAGTATGTATGTATATTTAAGTGCTTGGCCAACTAGTAGAGTTGCGGTCTGCACACGGTTACGTATACGCACCGTTGGCCATTCAATTCAAGGGCCTTGCTTGTAGGTTAACAAGCCAAGCATCTATGTATGTAGTGTGTTGATATATGTAGTACATAAACATATTTATTTAATTTCCAACTTAAATGACACTTTTANATCTATGTATGTAGTGGGTTGATATGTGTAGTACATAAACATATTTATTTAATTTCCAACTTAAATGACACTTTTACAGGGTAAAGTTGAGTGTATCGCGTATGCCGTGCATTATTTATTATTATCGCTGGTCACTTTTTGCTGCTGCATACATTCCACAAATGCATACATATGTATGTGCGCAGAATTCTTCTTTATATTCTTCTACATCCTTTTATCTGCACCGCCATACAAACTGTGTGTGCCATTTCCTTATAAGAAAAAATAAATATAAATAAAATGCAGCACGAGAAATTTGCCTTTTATTTGTCGTCAACTTATTACAAATTATATATGTTTTTGCTACATTTTTTCATTATAGGCTTTGCTACACACTCACGATGTTGTTGCCCGTGACGTTTACGGCGAGGAGGCACTGCGCGTCACACCGCCACCAATGGCACCCTATATTAATGGTGACGAAATCGATAATGTGGACAATGGCGAGTTGCAACATGTAACCAGAGTACGTTTGGTGCAATTTCAAAAGAACACCGACGAACCAATGGTGAGTAGTGCACGTCAATAAGAAGACTAAGGAGTTTCTGCTCTACAACATCTGCGTGTAAATTAGGGTGATGCAAACAAAAAATGTTTAAATTGTTAAGCTCTCCGCCCATAGGATTTTTCTAAATGGAAACAAAGAATACTTCCATTTTTTTTTTTTGTTAAAAAAATTACGTTTAGAACTGCCCTAATCGCATGAAGTTTCCAGGTATTTTATATGGGGAAAAACACTTTTTTGTAGTAATGGTATAAAATTCACCGAAATAAATATTTTTCGATCGGAAAACTAGGTTTCTTTTGAGGAGACTTCTAATAATAACACCCAAATGTTTATACAATAACTCTAGCAAATGACCACGTGTTGAATTTTTTTAACTTTTTCAACTTGTTAATCTGAATCTTTAGAACATTTTTGGGTGTGCAATTTTATACAACGGCTAAAAAATCGCGCTGATTTTTGAGTTTTTTTTGGAGACTGCTTTTGTGTGTTTTTTTTTGTAACAAGTGCAATTTACAAAAACTGGCATTGTTCTTTTGAAATTATGTTGCTAACTGTCTTCCGCAATTTATTTCAAAGAAATTCATGCTTATATGGAAAAAAGTGCACAAATCCGTAAAAAAAAAAATTCTCAAAAATTAACGGGATATTTTTACCGAAACTTGCACTTCATTAGAATGGACGCTGGAGCTAAACATTTTAAACTTTTTACCCCCGCATGTATTTTCGGGCCACCCTAGTGTACATACATACATGCATATGTATGTAAATATATTTGTACATATTTACCTATAGACATAACTGACTGTTATGACCATTCAGTACTAATTTTGCAATTACATAATTATCTTAAGGGCATTACGTTAAAAATGACCGAAGACGGCCGTTGCATTGTAGCCAGAATAATGCATGGCGGCATGATACATCGCCAGGCCACGCTGCATGTTGGCGATGAGATACGGGAAATAAATGGACAACCCGTGCAACATCAATCAGTGGGGCAATTGCAACGCATGCTGGTGAGTGCTTACATTTGTACGAAAGGACTTTTATGAATTCTCGTCACTGTGCGCAACGTAAATGGTTGAATAATTTGCAGCAATGAGTTCTTATTGCTTCTCTTTTTCTTTCATTCTTCCTCTCTTCTATGTTCTGTAGCGTGAAGCGCGTGGTTCGGTTACCTTCAAAATAGTTCCTTCTTATAGAAGTGCTCCGCCACCCTGCGAGGTATGTACAGTAGTGATTGCTTGAATAAAAATTTAACCGAAATTATTTACCAAATATGTTTTAGTATTCGCCGATAGTAATTTTTAGTTTTACTTACTAAATATGGCGCATGTTAAATACTATAGAAATACAGCCAAAAAAAAAAAA